TCCAACTAGGTGAGTGCAAGCAACTTAAAAGACGATATTTTTATCGGCTCACTTTGGTGAGGTGAGGCGTTCATTCTTGTTCTGGTCGTTGTTGGCAGAACACGCAGCTTCAAACCAGATTAAAATACATTTTATTCTCCACGAAGCCCACAACCGCTTTAGTTAACCGCCATTATTCTCAAGCATTTAGTACGGAACTCTTCCTTACCAAGTCGTTATCAGTCATTGGTAAGGTAATGAAGACGTAGGTCTGGTTGTGCTCTGAGTTACCAAGTCAGGCAAAGCTCTCATCTGTTTTATGCGTTGGAAAAAGCATGATTAACCACTGCATTATTTAACAGCTGCATTGCTAAAGCATGAAAACATGTATCCTCGTCAGACTCAATGGTGCTCGTAAGGGTCAAGTGGAAAAACACCGCCATTCGAGCCTTTAAGTCTTCGACAAAACAGCAAGGAACACTCCTAATTTTCAGTCAGAGTTGTGTGCAGTATGAGCATTAAGAATTTGGTTTAAATTTTTTTAAAACTCAAGTCTGTTACTAATGTCAATTTCTTAATTGCGTTCATAAGTTTACATTTACGATAAACTACTCTTGAACTATTTCAGGAGTTGGTTGGAAATAGTTTTGCAAGGACAATACACTGTTTTAGAAGTTAGTAGATGGTACATTACAAATCTGAATGTCCCCTACAACTTGGCTAAAATCAGAGCTACCTTTTATTGTGCTCAGCAGTGTTCTCGATTGAATGTTGGACATCCTACCAACGCTTCATCCATCAATAAATAATAAAAACTACGGAGTGGATCGTGACAAAGAGATTCTACATCTTCCTCTTTGCTTCCGTGTTTTATTATTCGAAATCAGATGATTACCACAACATCATTACCAACGACAAGCAGCAGTTTTTTCAACATCCATGAGACTGTTATCGCATAAAAAAGGAGAACATCAGTGAACATTCTTACACGAATAGGCAATGCATGAAGAAAGACCACCATTCTACAAAGCTTCTTTGCCTGAATAGAAAGGCAGGTCGTTCTGTAGTAGCCATTACTGAGAGTCAAGAATTTACATCCCTTTGGGAGAGCAGTGCCAATGTCACGGTGTCGCCTCCGGTTCACATAAATGATCGGACGTATATTGGCCGAAGATCGGCAATTCTCTGCCCTACCGCGTTCTTCGTTGCGCAAGTTGGCCTGTTTAGATTAGGGATCTGTCTTTGTCGCTTGGTAGCGTTCGCAACATTCTTCGATAGTTCATTTGACCAGTGTAAAATTATAAAGGACATGGCTTCATGGCAAAAGTAAAACCTCAGCACCCATTTTGAGTGCTCTAATGTGGCCTTTGTTACATAACGGTACATATTACGGCTTCCTGCAGGTTTCATTCCTACGGCTTTGGCGAATTAAAAATGTACTAATTTTATAAGCTTTGAGATCTGTACCGTAGCGCTTCACCAATAGAATCTCTTTGATGTTAAACTCTCGTGCCAAACAATCATTCGCGAATTCTCTATCCACCGTTACATTACAATATAGCAACCATCCCTTATCTTAACAACCATCATCTCTAAGTATGACATGAAATGCAAACAACTGGAGAACTGCAGCTTACCTTAGTAATAACAACCAGAGCTTGGCCTTGTCCCTACTGTTTGATAACACGTGGTAAGTGTTGTGCATGTTTGAGAACCTAGTGTAGCGACTTTTTACCCTGACCTCGGCAAAAATACAGGCAGAAACGTGAATATGCTGAAAAAGATATTCCGCACTTTACCTTAGGCAATGTTAATCAAAACAATGGAAATTACAAAGTGGACAAATAACTGTTGTTACTAGTTCAGTACGCAGACCTCGAGTTGTTCCACCATTGGCCTTAGACACTATTTAGACTAAAACAAGAAGGAAAGTATTAAATTTGCTACAACCACTGACTCCCATTCCTCCTCTCCTCCCTAACCCTTCGGACGACCCACGCTCGCTCTGCTCGAGCTCCCATGGATTGTAGCTGACGGACGCAGACATTTACTGCTTACAAATTACGATTCAGTTCTCTGTCCCTAGTAGAGTACACAGGAATGCCTTTCATTCCTTCAAAACTTTGCGCAGCCAAGCTGCAGCAAAGCTGGTCCAATTGCTGCATTCAATATATAAAAGCTGTCAGAGCGATCGCTTCAAAGCGTTGTCCATTCATATCGCCATTTTTGGTAGTGTTGGAAAATAGCACCGGTGTTATAAGTGATGATTCTCTACCAATATGTTACAAGATGATTTGGGAGCTTGGCAAAATTCCAGGTTTGCTTTTAAGGGAGTTCACGATACATAGGATCCAAAGCTTACGATGTTTAATAAGCAACTGACTATCACAACCATGGATAATTCTTTGAAGAGGGTTTAGCCAAACTTCTGAGATTTGCTTTTATGTGATTCTTATCTTCCAATTTACTGAACAAATTTTTAGCTGTCAAAGAAGAAATAATAATGCCTCCCTGACACTATTCACAATGCCGGAAACCAAGTGTGCCTCTTGATCCAAGCCCCCGCATCTGCCCTAGCATATCACTGACACGGACATCACTTATGACCTTGACCTAAAAGAGCGCTATGCCATCTGGAGTGGATGCTAGTCGATAAGGTGGCTAGAGCCTTTGATTCTCAATATTCCTTTTGTTATCTTAAAAAACTTCCCAAATGTTTCCTCGATTAAATTCCACCTGGTTTATATATTATTCACCTTAACAAATATTGCCTCTTTTGACGAGTTTTTCTTCACTCACCCTTAACCGAAATGGACATGGCTTTGATATTAAATCTTTATGCTTGAAAGTCATCGTCTGAAAATGAAGGTAATCTTTACATATCTAGGCCGTTTCATAAATCCTACGGTGGCGACAAATCGCTGCTAGCCTAATTCTATTTTCTTAATCACAGTATTCTTAAGTCTATACTTTACTAGTGGCTCTAGCACAAATGCAACTCATGGGAATATTTTTTGCATTGCTGAAGCGATTAAATGATGTTTCACTTTTAGTTACCACTCTCTCAGTAGGAGTTAATTTCTCACCTGCATCAAAGTGGTTGTGATTCGAGAGCTCTTCGAAACCGACTAGGCTCCGAAGTTTGTCCTTGTCATTTTACCAGAACTTGATTAGGGTATTCAGGGAAGAATCGAAGGTGAGCAGAGAGGAACGCATTATGTGAATGCGAGCACATTATCTCTTAGGCGGTGAGTCGATGCCAATTATTCTCGAGAGAAGCGCTCTTCATATGCATTATTTCATGCTGATAGCACGCGCCAGGGCATCCACAGACGGAATTAAAAATTTATTCGATGAAAGATGCAACATGAAGGAGACGTCAGCATTGGTGAACGCAGTTGAGCGCATGTACATAAAAAAAGTGTACAAGCAGTGCTATAGCCCTTCCAGACGCAAGAAGAAATGCTTAGTTAAATTTAGCTTTGGGTTGCCATTGAGAATAGCAAAATACATCCGCGATTTCCGGCCACTAATACGGTTACAGAAAGCAGAATGCGTCCACCACTTGTCTTTCGAATAGCAATGATTGTTCCAGCGACCGACTGCATGGAAGTGCATATCAAGCTGAGTGTGACATTGGCCTTTAGCGAAAATGTGCTGTGACTTAAGCTAACTAACTAACATGAATTTTAATAGACTCTCTACAAAATCATAGTGAAGAGAAGATACCGTGCAGTAACTCAAGTACTCAAAAGTGCTAAGACTCAGACTTTGTTACAGATGTGCAAGGTCCCCACTCACTTGCTGCTTGTGAAGGTGGATTCCCAGTTTTCAAGTCTTGTTTTATTCCCAAAAACGTGAGGTTGTCGTGGACAGATAAAGAAAATTTTCAACATTTATTAAGGCGGCGCAAGTCTGTTTTGCCTAACGGTGTGCACTTCAGGCACTTTGGGGTCCTAATTTGTACGAGGAAGTTAACAGGCTTGACTTCATGACCGTGCGTCATTTTAGAGAGCAGACAGAAAAAAATCAACAATCGCTTTAAACTAGTCCACCTCTTTTCAATGGCATTGCACCAACAAAACTCCCAAACGCCTTGCTTGAAACAATGTCATGGTCTTTACTTCAATAGCTAGTCAACTCGGTGAGCTAGTTAAAACGCGATACCCCTGTGTATTTAAAAACTAACGTAATTTTAGCAGTAAACATTACCTAAAACCAAATTTGTTTCCATTGTAATGGTGCTTTATGGTGGTATAAAAATCCACTCGTTCAACAATTCGAGATAATTCAGCATTAGTTATGTGCATGTAGGAGTTCACTGGGTAGAAAGTTCGAAATACCCACCTATGCTATGCCCTGATTACCCATCATCGTCCATTTTCCAACACAAAAACTATGTACTACGAAAAGTATTCGAATCAATCTCTTCGAATGGGCACGGCTGGTGAAGATCTGCCTCAGGCCTCGTGAGTTAAGATGTCTAACACCACAACATTTCATTTTCATACCTACGCTCAGTTTTCGCTTTCAGCATCCGGCTGCGCAAGAACACACGAAGTGGTGTCTCAAGCTCACTAAAATTCTCGTTTACAAAATTTTATCGAATTTTAACTGATCACATACTAATACCCTTTCATGTGAGATGGGCAAGGTATTTCCTTCGTTCGATGGAACGAATTCTATTGTTTGCGAATAGAGCTTGCAGTTTTTTGTTAATGCATGCAATGAGGAATTTGACTGTAAAAATATCATTGTGCTGACTAAACCGCCATAACTTCGCGTCTGTCGGCGCCTTTGAAGCTTATCAAAGCGATTTTCAGCTGCTCTATGTGCGCATTAGTGAAGGAAGAGTGTAACCCTTTATTCTTATTTCAATGCTTGGTTTCTTTTTCCGACCCTGGAATCACAGAAGCCAGTTGGCCACGTTGCATAAATGCTAAATCAGTTTCAATTCGTTACAAGCTGAAGCATGAAGACAACAATCATGTGCTTTCGCTACGAGGACTCGACCTCAATTTATGGCTGTGCGAGTCGCCTTGGTGGTGCGCTGTGAACTGCGAGGCGGTGAGGGCACAACGCACAACTATCCGCCACCGCCGCCGCCGATGCAGCCGCAGCCGCAGCCGCAGCCGACTGGCGTTCGCGAGGCCACCGGGCGCGCACGTGACTGTCACGTGAGCTCGCACGACGGCTTGCGGGTGTGGGTTGTGTGGCAGGCGCGTGCGCGCAGTCGGGGCTACGGCGTCAAAACAACGGGTTATGCAATTCACTCAATTGTGCAGTTAAAATATTATTAAACATTTTGTTCAGGTGGTGTTTGAATGACCTTAAACCAACAAATAAATCAACAATTCTTTTTTTTTTGGTGAAACAAATCCCGTGAAGGCCAAATTACAGAATTATTCAACGGCTTATTGCTAACTCAGACATTAAGCTAATGATAACTTGCTTCATCAGTATTTGATCCAAGGTTGAACTAGTGCTCAGCAAATGCACTTGACATGAATAAAAGAGCTTTAAACAACAGAGGCGACTATCTAGGACTGTCCATAAGACTCCTTCCATTGCTGATACATGCTTTTAAGCAAGAGTTGCGCCTACTCTTGAAGTTAAGGTGTAGTATAAATGAGTATAGTTTTCCATAATTGTTCATATTCAGCTCCAACATTCTTTTATGTGGGAAATGAGTTTGGCCACAAATGTAATGGAGAATTCGCGACATTTTAGACGCCCCTTAAAATAATCTTCCACATTCAGTCTCGAGTACTTTACCGAGGTTTACCATCCAAATGTCCTTAAAGAGATGCTAAATAAGCTCTTTCCATTGGCGAGAGGTTTCAACCCCAAAGATTAACGTGGGTAAAGTGGAAAAGCAAAACTTCTACTGAGCATAGGTATGCAATAGTTTTATAATATAGAACAAATAGTTACATTTAATTTCCATTATTCGCACCAATTTGTACAATTTAGTAAACTGCAAGGCTGTAAATTATACGCGAAAGCGGTTTGCATATCATGACCCGAAGTAGGTAAACGGAGATTCGACGCCCTATTGTTGAGCAGATACGAGAAGCATAATGTCAGGCTAAACTATCTAGCTTAGCTTGCATAGTTAATTAAAGAACCACCAAGTAGTCAGCTGTGGATACTTTGTTACATGATTGTGACTACAACTACCCATCCTTTTCATCACAACACAGTCCTTCCTGACTCTCAATTCGGTAGAACCTTTTGCAGCCAAAAACAACAACATATCCAGCCACCATCTCCACCTCGCTC